CAAAACTCTTATTTTCATTCAAAGATTCAATCTTTAGAAATTAAAAAGGTGTAATGACATAATAGGTACCTTTATAGAGGTAGTTTTATTCAAAGATTCAATCTTTAGTCATTAAAACACTCTTTGCGACTTGATAGGTAACTTGAATAAGTTAAACTCAAAACTCTCACTTTCTTTCAAAGATTCAATATTTATACAATAAAAAGGTCTAGTGACCTAATAGGTAACTTTTTTGAGGTATTTTCATTCAAAAATTCAATCTTTAGTTATTAAAATACTCTTCGTGACGTCAATGGGATATCGAATAAGTTTAACTCAAAACTCTAATTTTCTTTTAAAGATATAATTATATACGTTAAAATGGTCGAGTGACATAATAACTACCTTGATTTAGATATTTGCATTCAAAGATTTAATCTTTACTCATTAAAACACTCTTCGGGACGTAAAAGGGAACTCGAATAAATTTAACTCAAAACTCTCATTTTCTTTCAAAGATTCAATCTTTATACATTAATATGGTCTAGTGACATAATTAGCACCTTTGTTAAGGTATTTTCGTTCAAACATTCAGTCTATAGTCTTTAAGACGGTCTTCGCGACTTCATAGGTAACTCGACTAAGTTAAACTCAAAACTTTCATTTTCTTTCAAAGATTCCATCTTTATACAACCACAACAATTTTCCAGAAATTCGTGCAATTCAAGACTACGCATAACCCATCTACGGTTGGTATTACTCATCCACCTAAACTTAGGTGTGGTATGAGCCATTTTCCCTAGGCATGACCTATCAAGGTCTTGACATTACAAGTTTTAGCACATGAAATCAATTCTTTAGCATAGACTATCTTTGGTTGGCATGGACCATCTACCTAACTACGTTAATATAGGGGTGTAGCATGGTCTATCTTCCCTTAGCATAATCTATCTAAATTCATACATAACATGCTTATATCCCATTTCATGAATCAATCTTCATTATCGCATATAAAGATATCAAGAATATAAATATATAATCATGGTTCTAAGATAAGAATTACATGGTGTATATATATTCTGCCTAGATCATAAATCAATTGAATGTAAATACACAAAATTGAAAATATATCATCTTCTTATTCATAAAATTCATCAGATACAATAATATTGCCCAAATTAAAATACAAAGACTACATGACTACTTTGATCAAGGCTACCTTAATCTCCTATGAGGGGATTTAGCTCATCCTTGTGGTGGTTAAAGCTCCGATGGTTGAAGAGGAAGCCTCCATCTTCAGCTCCATAACAGCCACACCCAAGAACACTCAAGAACCCTAGCTATTCCTCATTTTCTCTCTTTAGAAACTTACAAAATTCAAATTCTGAAATGATATATGATATAAGATACAACATTATACATGTGTATATAACCCCCTCTAGCAAAATCAGGTTAAAAAACCATAAATTTCGCGCATTCATGTGGGGAGGAGAGAGAAAAGTAACTGAAATTTCAAATCTGCTCAAAGTTTGCAGGTGTGCATCCGGACGCTGAGTGTCCAGGTGCATGTCATAGCGCTCGCTGGGCGCTTGCTGGCGGGGCTTGTGGCACTGGGCATCCGGAAGCAAATTCTTCTGGCTACTGGAATTTTAACTTTTGTTAAATTGAATTTGTTGTCCTGATTTACAAAGAGCGTCCAGACGCCAGAATTGCACTTAGAGAGTGCGTCCGGACGCTATGCTTTGCCCTTCAAAGTCGACTTCTTCTTTTTTGCTTAACGTCCCGGGCATGACTTCATTCTCAGGTTGAGTATGATCATAGACTTAGGTCCATTTTGCCGGGTTCCATAGCTCGCCAAATACCTTGTTCACTAATAGCCCTTAAAATCCCACTTTTACGCCATTTTAGATATAAGTCCTGAAAATAACAAATAAATACGAAAGTATGTAAAACACACTTTATTAACATGCTAAATAGACTAAACCATGCAGTTAAGGGCTTTTGAATATGTAATATTCGGCGCTTATTAACTTCAGGATCGATCATGGAAATGTATGATCGATCGTGGAACAGGTAGGATCGATCGTGGCACTGTAATTTGGCAATTTCTAGAACTTTTTCCCGTTATATTTGCTTGACTCCAAAAAGACTTTAATGAACTGAATTTAGCGTATTTGAGCCTTATTGACCTGAAATCGACAATAAAACAAATTAAGACTGAAATGGGAAAGTAATGACAGATGAAGGGTTTAATTTACCTAAGATTAGGGCTGAAATGTGCATATTTCATCACTTATCAAGCATGTTCCACATACGTGTATTTTATGCCATTCTTGTGAGGCCAATGAAAACTTAGGTTATCCTCATAATGCACTTTCCTATAGAGTAATTTAGATTACTCACCCTCGCTAATTTAAATGTTTTTCAGGCAAGGAGATTTTCTTTTTGGATGTGCACCATCCTTAGCTCAGATTTGCTCTATATTTTGGATATCTTTTGCTTTATCATCACATGGAAATGTTAGCATGTTGTATGCACCATTTTGGGTTGTAATTGTGTAATGTACTTGGAACGTTACTTAACTTCCTTTTTAATGGCAGGAAATGGATTTGGAACTTATCCTAAATGAGTTCCTTAGTCATTTCCGCCCAAGCACCCTCTTTTGTATCAACTTGAAATGTATGCAATGAGGCTAATGGCCATTTGCTGTCAATGTATATATATTACGGAACCTTATATCAAAATGTTTATTTTTGGCATTCATGCACTTGGGATATCCTTTATGTTCATTTTTCCCTTTTGTAAGATCGGTTTGGGTAGTGCATCTATCCCCATAGACATCAAGGGGTGTCGGTTTCGCAAACCATAGGTTGCAGGCCTTAACAAGCCATTTTGCCTCAAATCGGTCTACGTGTACAGATTTCACGTCGACCGGTATCCCCACAGTTCACTTTTCGCAGGCTGGCAGCCAAACACGTTGACGTGAAGTCTGTACAAGTAGACTAAACCAGTCGACGTGTACAGGTTTCACGTCGACCGATTCTTGCACTTCCTTACTACATGTTTCTTCTTCTCTTATGGCTTGCCTCGATGCACTGTGATGATGTGGTGGTGTTTCATAACCATGAAATGGTGTATTTTGTAATCCTTTTTCATAAGAAATGACCATTTTATCCTTGTTCTTGTTCATGGCTCGTTTCAACCTTAGTTTTCAAATTATCTTCCATTCGAATCTCGTGACTTCAAAAGAGGTCACGTTTAGGTCTTAGAGGTAATATTTATCTCTAGGGACCTCTTTTCATTTCTTCTCTTTTCTTTTCTTGCTTTTGCATTTCGGACTCGATAACGGGTCGGGTTGTGATTTTCTAGTTGATGCACCAGTTCTTAGAATTTGGGGCGTCACACCAGTATTGATGATACCTGAGCGTGGCTTGGGTTATGTGATCTTTTGTGATGCTTCACGTGATGGATTAGGGTGCGTGTTGATGTAGGATGGTAGATGTAACGATCCGAACCCGGGGCTCCGAATCGCTAAATCAGGTCTTTATCCAAACCTGAGTTCGTTTAAGGGCAATACCATCATTTACAATGTCAAAACACTACTAACACATCATACTAATGTTCATAGTAACCCATAGCAACATCAAATGGCTTAGGATTAGCCACAGGAAAAAAGGAAACAAGAAACAGGAAAGTGAGGAACTGGTAGTCCGAAATGGCCCGTGTTTCCTTAAGTTTTACATTAGTTTAAATATCACATACAACTTTGGAATGTACTAGTTGTGTTATTGTTTTGTCCATGCCGATCCAATGATTTTGCGTTAAACATTAAAATCGATCAATAGGTATGTTTAGAGCTCTCTATGACAAAGTACTTCCACAAGTATGAGAATATCAACTAATAATAAAACAAACACAAAGAAGTATGAAAATATCAACTAATAATAAACCAGAGACAAAAATTAGACAATAATTGAAACAATATAAGTACCAGATTATGTATGGATACACTAAATCAACACAATGATAATTCGTGTTTATAAGTGTCAAATAAAACTAAACATTGATTAAACGAGAATTTTTAAAGGAGAAAAATCTAAAAATAGAGCAGAAAAAAATTTCTGAAAAAATTAGAGTTAGGGTTATGTTAATTTTTAGAGGAGGAAAAATTTCAGAAATTAAAACTCTTACTTGAAAAAAGAGTTGCTTTCACCTGAGAAGGAAGAATCGCCATCAAGAGCCTCTCCAAACAGGGTTGTTGAAAAACATAATGAGAAAATATTGTTGTAGTTGTTCTTTAGAGAGAGAAAGCTAGTTAGGAAATCTAATGTTTGTAAAAAAGAAAAAAAATTTCAAACCTTCATGGACCAGCCCAAAGATTCAAATTTGTCAAGGGCACTTTAGACATTCTATTGAATAAAAAAACAGATGTTACGAGTATTTAGGCAATTCATTTCAGATGTCCATAAACCCTGGTATCGCACTTTGTTGGCCGACTCCGCCATCAAACCCAGTACGTTCTTTCACTAGATATTTTCTTTCATACATTTTTTCCTTTCTATCTTCTCTCTATCTGCTACTAGTATATATATATACATGTGTTTTTATATAAATATGTGTGTGTGTGTGTGTGTGTGTGTGTGTGTATATATATTTAAGAGTGAAAAATGTTAAGCATGATCTCTCCATTGATTGCCCGATGATGGTAAATCTCAACATTTTAATGGTTTCTATCTATCCGTAGCCTTTACCACCGCCGCCGCACCACCACCACTACCACCTCCGGGGATGTCAGTGTAATTAACCCTTTATTTAATTATTTTTATGGTGGTGTGTAAAGGCTTTTGATGAATGCATTAGCTTCAAAGTAGTGAGATCTGAGGGTTCTTTCACCAGCCATTTCAATTTTAGAGTTTTTGCATATATCTAGACAAGCCCAAAATTGAACTAACCTTTTGCCAGATCTACATAGAATAAATGTTCTATTATTTTAATAGTTTATGTGCTATTATTGATATGTAGTGAATGATGAAATACGCACTGGGCTTTGAGCAGTTTGTTTTTTGCAGTTATTGATGGAAATACAGCCTAGAAAGCTATATCTGACCCTTTTTAAAACTATTGTAAGTGTTACTAATTCAAGTGTCTGCATATGAATTTGTGGTTGAAGTGTTGATTTTGCAACTTTCAAATGTTCAAATTATGGGTTATGGCACCATTTTTAGGGAAAATATTATAGAAGGCAAATAAATCATGTAGGGGTGGACTGAAAACTGGAGTGTTTTTTCTGCAAACATTTATATGCATTTGAAATGAATTGTTGTTAGGAATTTTCGGTTTTCTTTCATTTATCATTTAGACTTTTTATTTGTCCTTAAAACTTAGTATCAGGATTGAATGGAGCAAATTTGAATTTATCCAACTTTTACAATTCTTTAGGGGCGTGTTTATATGTTATTTTCACTTCTTTAATCTACAATTTTTACATTTTTTTTTTCATCTTGAAACCTTTATCTCGACTGCTCTGGGTCTGCCACATGACTTCTGCTCCCGTGATTTCTCTGCATTGAATTCTCAATTTTTACATGTTATTTTAAACTTGTATGCTCTCTGAGTGAGCCATAACGTGGCACAGATTAGTTGTGCAATTTCAAGCAATCATACTATGTTGGACTTTGCTGTAGTTGTTTTTGTGATGGAAATGATTTCCTTGTGTTTGTGTTGACTGATAGCAAGACTGCATCCACATTCTTCTCCTCTTGAAACTGACTATGACATACCACTTAATCACTGGCTAGTTGGCAGTCTGGTTTAACAGTTACCCGCCTTGATATTATTATTGTCTATTCTGTTCACTTAGTCAATCAGTTTATGTTTGCTCCTCCTTTCTCTCATGTTGCTGTTGTTCTTCACATTCTTCAGTATATCAAGGGCACTTTATTTCATGGTCTCCACTTCTCGGCTCTCTCTTCCCTCACATTTTTGTAGGCTATGATGTTTTGTCTGGTGTTGAATTTGAATATATATATATATATATATATATATATATATATATATATATATATCTATTGGGGTGAATTACTCTGAAGAAAAAAAATTGGTCAACCTCCCATGAGGTTTGGTAGACCTTACCCAGGCCTCCCTTTTTGTTAGTTCAATTAAAAGAATAAAATAAAGTATCAAGAATGCCTTTATCTGTAGCAAAATAACAAAATTAACTTTGTTGACAATATGAAATGACCATTTCAGCCATACTATTTATACACAAATACCATTACAATTTTAACACACAAATCACATATTACTACTATAAATATTTTCTGCTTTTTATTTAAGATGGGGTTAGTGGTAATTTTACGGGTGCCATTAACAAATCTAACGTACTGTAACTCTGACAGTGGTGTCAAAGTAATTCACCCTATATATTACATTTGGCTATTTTGTGCCCATTCTTTCATTTGAAATTTAATTATGTCAAAACGATACCACAATGATGGAGAACACATTGTGTTCAGTAGATGCTCTGTTTTTTTTATTTATTTATTAGAAGCCTCTTCTGTCATTGTTATAATAACATTCTCACCATTGCACCTTTTAGATTTTTAACAAAAACCATACGACTTCAATATTGATGAAGAATGGTAGTAATGAGATGTACTTACCGAAAGAATTAGTATTGTAGCATATTCAGGTAAATCATTTTATGGTAGTATCTGATTATGACTGTGATTTGTGCTTTATTCCGGTAGATTGTCGGTGATGCTTATATGGGTTGGTTACCAAAAACTGCATCCATTTAATCTACATGCTGTGAAATTCTTGTAAGTATTGATGTTTATTAGACCATTTGTTGCCTGATATAAATTGTGTTGTATCCAGTGGTGGATGTATTTCGTATTCGCTTTTATATGTGTGCTTTAAGGTTAGTTTTTTGTCTAGTAATGTTAGTCTTGAATATTTTGTTCTGTTTTGCCATTTGTTTGTCTGCAAATTCTTGCACATTCCTTGACTGTGTTTGAAGATTCTCACTTCATTTTCATGTTCTAATTAGTTCAATATTTAGTACTACAACATTTCTCCCTGCATGAAAGTGCACTTGATGCATTTACGTAAAGCTAGATTCTCTCTCTGCTGTCCTCTTTATCAGTTTTATTTTATTATTTTTTTTGGTTTGTAAAATGTCACTACCCAATCTAAGAGTTCATTGACATCAACTTAATCTCAGTATTCTCCGTAGGAAAAAGGTATAGCACATGCCATCTTTAAGTTGCCCATTGATGGAAAATCTTATAATATTGAATGGTTTCATGGTTTTCATTCATCACTAGCCTTGCCACACTACCATTACCTCCTCCTCCCCCTTTTATGCTACACACATACATGTACGTGTTTTTGGGTAAATTACATTGACCTCCCCTTTAATTTATATATTTATTAGTATTTATTTATGGTGGTGGGCAAGGTTTTTGATGAATGCCATTTGATTTACACCATTGATGATTTGAAGCTATGAGATCTGAGGGCTCCAAGATCATTTCATTTCTAATGTGATTCCTAACATCTAGACCTAAAGCCTCCTAAATGGGGGTGCTACTTTTTGTGCTATTTGGAAAAAATGAAGATGAAGAAGGAATCATTTAGTGTAGATGAATCTTGTAGTTATTAGGTCTGTGCTAATGCCTTGTACGGACAACTTGGTTTGAGTAACCAAAACCCATTGTTTGCCTGTGAATATGTTCAGGCTTTTCTGATTTTTAACATTTGACAATTTATATTTTTTCTTCTGGTCTATTTGTTTGTGTGTACTTAATTCATGTACCATTGAACTTCCCTGGTAGTGTGGATGGGGTTTGTTTAATTGAACTAGTCTAACTTATTGGTATTAATTTCTAAGGACTCAATCTCTGTTACTCTTTATATATTATATATAAAATAAAACAAGACATGTATTTGGATATTTCCCTTCAATTCCACAATATTATATTAGTTCTTAGATATGCATAGTTGAAGGAAATTCTCTGACGAAAAAATGAATTATGGGAGTAGGACTTTATCTATTGATTTGCATTTGCAGATTATTCTATATGTCAAATTTGAATCATAACAAAATGCATCTTTGTTCCAACCACCGTTGATACACCATATAGAGGATGGTTCATGCAATTGAACGGGTATGTTTCTATCAGGATGTTGTTGGCGACTCTAATATGATTCGTGCAATTGATGGTCACCCCTCTTTGACGAGAGGGGCGACTATCAACTAGTGAAAAAAAGAAGAAGTAAGAAGCATAATTGAATATTAATTTGTAAACTTTCATTTAGATATCATGGACACAAGTTGATGTTGATTTATTCTTATTATGGATTCAAACCCAGTACGTACTTTCACTCACCATTTTATTTCATCCAAATTTTCTCTTTATCTACTATATATTTACTTGTGTTCTTATGTATATATATATGTGTGTGTGGAAAAGTTAAGCATACTCTCTGGATTGCCCAATGCTGGTAAATCTCAACATTTCAATGGTTTTTATCCATCAGTAGCCTTTACCACCGCCGCCGCCGCCATTACCACCACCACCGCCACCGCCGCCGTCGCCACCACCACTACCACCTTCGGGATGTCAGTGTCCTTTATCCTTTATTTATTTATTTATTTTCATGGTGGTGTGTAAAGGCTTTTGATAAATGCCATTAGCTTCAAAGCTGTGAGATCTGAGGGTTCTCTCATCATCCATATCAATTTTAGAGTTCTTGTATATTTCTAGACAAGCCCAAAATTACCATTGTGCCAGATGTACATAGAATGAATGTTTTATTATTTGAATAGTTTATGTGCTATTATTGATATGTACTGGGCTGAGTAGTTTGTTTTCTGCAGTTATTGATGGAAATGCAGCCTAGAAAGCTATATCTGACCTTTTTAAAAACTATAATAAGTGTTTCTAATTCAAGTGTCTGCATGTTAATTTGTGGTGAAGTGTTGATTTTGCAACTTTCAAATGTTCGAATTGTGGGTTATGGCACCATTTTTTAGGGAAAATATTATAGAAGGCAAATAAATCATGTAACGGTGGACTGAAATCTTGAAGTGTTTTTTCTGTAGACATCAAATGCATTTGAAATGAATTGCTGTTAAGAATTTTCGGTTTTCTTTCATTTGTCGTCTAGACATTTTACTTGTCCTTCAAACTTAGCATCCGGTTTGAATCGAGCAAATTTGAAATTATCCAACTTTTACAATTCTTTAGGGGTATGTTTGTGTTATTTTCACTTTACATCCTGATATTGATATTGCCTATTCTTTTCACTTAGTCAATCAGTTTCTGTTTGCTCCCCCTTCCTCACATTTTGCTGCTAATCTTCACATTCTTCCTTATGTCAAGGGCACTTTTATTTCATGGTCTCCACTCCTCGACTCTCTCTTCCCTCATATTTTTGTAGGCTAGGCTGTTTTTCCTGTTCTTGGATTTGATTGAATATCTATATATATATATATATATATATATATATATATATATATATATATTAGGGTGAATTACACTGACACCCCTATGAGATTTGCTCTACCTCACCCAAACTTCCCTTGTTGTTAGTTCAATTAAAAGAATAAAATAAAATATCAAATTTAACTTTATTGTCATTATGAAATGACCATTTAAGCTATATTATTTTGTAAACAAATAGCCCTTACAATTTTAACACACAAATCACATATTACTACTATATATATGTGTGTATATTTTCATGCCAACTCCACAACCAACACCATCATGGTTGCTCACTATCGCCACCTCCACTACCACACCACTGCAGGCCCCATTGTCGCCACATCCACCCCCATAACACTGCCCCCCGCTATCTCTCTCTCATCGCAAGCCCTCTCAACCACACAACCCATCCATGCTCTCTTTTCCTCTCTTCAAACAATCCCTCTTTTTCTTGTTTGATTCTCTGGTTTGTAGCACCACAATCCCTTTCTTTGGGATTTTGTTGGATTCTTTGATATGTTTATGTGCGAGTGTATATATGTGTGTGTACTTTTGGATTATGTGGGCATTGTTTGTTCGAATTTTGGGATTTTCAGAATTTCAGTCCAGATGCCGAGTTCGAATTTTGGGATTGTGAGTTCGAGTTTTGGGATTGAGTTTAGAATTAAAATCCTTAGTTTGAATCTTGGAATTTTGGTTTCGTGGGTCTTTTTTGATGTGAGTATTTGTATTGTTAAGAGAGAAACTGATGCCGCCTTACCAAGAGGAGAAGTTCAAATTGTCTTCACTACAAATTTGAAACGAAATAAAAGAATAACGATGCAAGAGAGAAGGAGAAATTGCAAAGAATTGCAAAGCAATTTTTATTTGCTGTAAAAATAATGTCTTCAACTAAAATTGATTGAACCCTAGAAATTACAAGGCTTTATATAGAATTTCTTCCTCCCCAATCTTAGCCTTATATTTGCTAACTACCAAATATAAAATAAAACCAAAATAGGAAAGTTGCTGAAAATTAGAGAACTACTCTAAATGGAAAGCTAATTAAAATCAGAAAACTACTCAAAATAAGGTAACTTTCAAAATATGGAAAGTTTCTGAAAAACACAAATTTCACTTGCAGAAATTTGAAATTAAAGTTTTTGAAAAACAAAAATTCCACTTGCAGAAATTTGAAATTCTGCCTACATCAGAAACTCTCTGTGGGTCTTCTTTGAGTGGGTGTTCTGATTACCAGGAGAGAGAGATCGGGGGGGGGGGGGGGGAACAAATTTGGTATATGAGGTGGTGTTCAGTGGTTGATTTGGTTCCTCAAATACAAGTGGGAGTACTTCAACCAAGGATTAACAAGCTACTTGGAACGTGAGGGTATTTTACACCAGTCATCATGTGTTAGACACCCCCCAACATGAGGTGGCTAAAAGGAAAAATAGGCATTTATTGGAAATAGCTCGTGCTCTCTTGTTCCAAATGAACGTGCCTACAAACTACTGGGGGAAAAGCTGTCCTAACAGCCGCATATCTTATAGACAGGATGCCAACAAAAGTTCTTGAATTCCAGACACCAATCAAAAAGCTCATTGTCTTATTTCCAATTTTCCAAGGAGTTGGCTCTTTATCACCAAAAGTCTTTGGTTGTGTATGTATATGTCCAACAACACTTGTAAAGAAAATTGGATCCTAGAGCTGTCAAGTGTATATTCTTAGGGTACTCCTCCACACAAAAAGGATACAAGTGCTATCATTCCCCTCTACAAGGAAGACATATATCACTATGGATGTGTCATTTGTAGAAAATCAGCTTTACTTTGGGAATTCCTATCTTCAGGGGGAGAATGGTTCAAAAATGGAAGATAGATGGTGGAATTTGGAAAATTCAGATACTATGGATTCTGGAGGGATGGATGGAAAGATTGTTGTAGATAAAAATAACCAAGTTGCTGAAGTTATGGAAGGTGCTGAAGAAAATGACAATGGCCCTAACCTGAGTGTTATTCCTAATTCACTTCTTAGTAAACCAGTTACTGCACCTCCAGATAGTCCTCCTAGTCTCCCCACAAATGAAGAATCAGAAGCCGAGAGACCTCAGACTCCCACTTACAACGTGTACTCTAGGAGGAAAAAGTCCATCATCACCGCACCAGCTCCAATTGTCAGGCTTGAAATAGGTAATGAAAATAATCCTAATTCTGGTTTTAGTTCAGAATTTCATTCTAATAATGACCTCAATATGCCCATTGGTCTTAGAAAAGGGGCTTGAACTTGTATTCGACACCCCATGTCTAACTTTGTATCCATGCAGAGTTTATCACCACAATACGAAACCTTTCTTTCTCAAGTTTTGTCTTAGCAAGTTCCCTTATCTGTCTAAGAGGCTTTAACCTCAAAACCATGGAGGGAGGCCATGAACGAGGAGATGAAAGCGCTGAAAAAAGATCAAACCTGGGAAGTTGTTGATTTATTGGAAGGGAAAAGGATATTGGGCTGCAAATGGATTTTTACTGTCAAATTCAAAGCTGATGGCACTTTGGACAGATACAAAGCGAGGCTAGTGGCCAAAGGGTACACTCAAACGTATAGAATAGACTACCACAAGACGTTTGCACCAATAGTGAAAATGAATGCAATTAGAATTCTTCTATCTCTGGCAACAAATAAGGATTGGCCTCTACATCAGTTTGATGTGAAGAATGCTTTCCTCCATGGAGACTTAGAAGAAGTCTATATGGATATTCCACCGGGGTATGAGCTAAAATCGTGGAATAAAAATCCCTCTATAGCCTTAAACGGTCTCCACGGGTTTGGTTTGGGAAGTTCACTAAATCAATGTTAAAAAGGGGGTACTTTCAAAGTCAAGGTGATCACACCTTATTCATAAAGAGGTCCTCCATTTGAAGAGTCATTGCCTTAATTATACATGTAGACGACATTCTTGTCACGGGTGATGACATTGAAGAAATGATGGCATTGAAGGTTTATTTAGCAAAAGAATTTGAGATCAAAGACTTGGGAAAACTAAGATATTTTCTTGGAATTGAAGTTGCTAGATCTAAGCATGGGATCGTCATTTCTCATCAAAAATACACCTAAGATCTTCTTCAAGAAATAGGTATGCTCGGCTGCAAACCCATTGATACTCCGATCGAACCCAACCACAAGTTAAGAGAAAAAAAGGAAGAAGAAATGGTTGACCGTGGAATGTACCAGAAAATGGTTGAAAAACTGATCTACTTGTCACATACAAGGCCAGACATAGCCTATGCAGTAAGTGTAGTGAGTCAGTTTATGCATGCCCCACTTAGATCACACCTCGATGCAGTTTATAGAATCATCAGATACTTGAAAGGGACATCTAGCAAGGGACTCTTATTTCGGAAAGATAAGGAGCTGAAATTAGAAGCATTTACCGATGCCGATTGGGTTGGATCCATGGTTGATAAGTGGTGAACTACTGGCTACTGTACCTTCTTAGGAGGGAATTCAGTTACTTGGAGAAGTAAGAAACAACCAGTGGTTGCTCGCTCTAGTGTAGAGACAGAATTCAGAGCTATGACTCAAGGGATATGTGAACTAATCTGGCTGTAAATGATACTCTCAGATTTGAGGGTAGAAGTGAAGGACCCGATGATGTTGTCCAGTGATAATAAAGCAGCTATAAATATAGTTCATAATACAGTACATCATGACCAGACCAAACATGCGGAGTGAATAGACATTTCATCAAAAGAAAAATTGGACTCGGGACAAGTTTGCAGTCCATACGTTTCATCCTCTAAACAGATTGCTGATGTGCTCACTAAATGATTATCTAGCACAATTTTTCATCAGATTGTTGACAAGCTTGGGATGCAAAATATCTTTGCACCAGCTTGAGGGGGAGTGTTGGAATAGTTGACTTATTATTCTTTCTATAAATAGGTTGCACATATATGATTGTAATATAGATACTAATTTTTAGCTCTTAATTTAGGAGAGTAAGGAGAGTTGCCTAGTTAAGCCTAACGTAGGTCTACTCTTGTATTTATATATATGTGTAATTCTTCTATAATAAAAGATGTGTGGTTCATTCTTCACAAACTGACAATAACAAAATTAACTTTATTGACAACATGAAATGATCGTTTAAGCCATATTATTTTGTACACAAATACCCTTACAATTTTACTGCACAAATCACAGATTACTACTATATAGTGTGTGTGTATATATATATATATATATGTGTGTGTGTGTATTTTCATGCCAACTCCACAACCAACACCACCATCGGTTCCTCACTATCGTCACCACAACCCCACTGCCGGCCCCATTGTCACCACATCCACCACCACAACACTGCCTACCACAATATTTCTCTCTCTCATCACAGGACCTCTCAATCACACGACCCATCCATACTCTTTTTTCCTCTGCAAACAATCCCTCTTTCTCGCTCGATTCTCTGGTTTGTAGCACCACAATCTGTCGCTTTGGGATTTTGTTGGATCCTTATATATGTACATGTGCGAGTGTGTATATATATGTGCATTTTTGAATTTTGTGGGCATTGTTTATTCGAATTTTGGGATTTTCAGAATCACAATCCAGATGCCAAGTTTGAATTTTGGGATTGTGAGTTCGAGTTTTGAGATTGAGTTCAGAATCAAAACCCTTAGTTTGAATCTTGGAATTTTGGTTTGTGGGTCTGTTTTGATGTGAGTTTTTTGATTATTCGGAGAGAGAGAGAAACTCTCTGTGGGTCTTCTTCGAGTGGGTGTTCTGATTACCAGTAGAGAGAGGGAGGGAGGGGATGGATTTGGTATAGAAGGTGGTGTTCAGTGGTTGATTTGGTTCCTTATTTACAGATGAGATTTGAGTCTTCTTAAGTGACCCTTCACGGTGGCTTCAATGTGGTCAATCAGCTAGGCTCACAAACATACAATATGTAAGATTTATAATTTTAATTAGATTACAAGATAAGCATTGTTATGCAGGAGAATATTGTGTGGTGGAAGTTTTTATCAGAACGTCATGCCACATTTTTCAATGGTTGATTTGGGTTCCTAGATCCTACAAGTGGGTTGCTCACTACTCGTGCATATAGGCTATTATGTATTATGGCATATATATAACTTTAGTAATTCACATTCATATCATAATTAAACTTGTATTTAAGTTTATATGTACACACAAATGTATCGTAAATATATATAATTTGTATTACAATTAAAGAGAGAAAAATAGAGGAGGTGATGGCAGTGGAGAAGAGAGAACACGGGGTGGTGTTGGTTGGTGGTTGAGTGCATAGAGATGGTGCAAGTGGCAAAGGCAAATTTGTCTTTTAAAATTTTGAGTTGCTTAGGTTAGTGTGACTGACACATACTATAGTTTTGTTTAAGATGGGATTAGTTTAGTAATTTTACTGGTGCCATTAACAAATCTAACGTCATGTAACTCTAACAAGGGTGTCGGGGTTATTTTTTCACAAAGTTTAAGCTGTAAGTATAATAGGAAAACGTCAGGGGGTGTCAAAGTAATTTACCCTCTATATTAGATTTGGCTATTTTGTGCCCATTCCTTAATTTGAAGCTAAACTATGTCAAAACGATCCCACACTGATTGAGAACACATTGTGTTCAGCAGATACTCTTTTTTATTTTTTTATTTTTTTTTATTAAAGATAATAAATTAGAAGCCTCTTCTGTCATTGTTATAATAATATTCTCACCATTGCACCCTTTAGATCTTTAAGGAAAACCATATGACTTCAATATTGATGAAGAATGGTAGTAATGAGGTGAGCTTACCGAAAGGATTATTATTGCAACATCTTCATCAGTCATGTAAATAATCTTATTGTAGTATCTGATTATGACTGTTTTTTGTGCTTTATTCCTGCAGAATGTCGGTGATGCTTACATGAGTTGGTTTGCAATAACTGCATCCATTTAACCTCTCTTTTCCTCTAACTTACATGTTGTGAAATTCTTTTAAGCATTGATGTTTGTTAGACCATTTTTTTGCCTCATAAGAATTGTGTGGTATGCAGTGTTGGATGTATTTCATATTCTCTTTTGTATGTGTGTTTTAAGGCTAGTTTTTTGTCTAGTGATTGTCAGTCGTGAAAACTTTGTTCTGTTTTTCCTTTTGCTTGTTTGCAAATTCTTGCACATTCCTTGATTGTGTTTGAAGATTCTCACTTCATTTTCATGTTCCAATTAGTTCAATATTTAGTACTACATACAAGTTTACTGGACATTTCTCCCTGTATGAAAGTGCACTTGATGCATTTACATAAAGCTAGTTTGTCTCTCTGTTGTCCTATTTATCAGTTCTTTTTTTTTTTTTTTTTGGTTTGTAAACTGTCAATACTCAATACCCAATCTATGAGTTCATTTACATCAACTTAATGTCAGTATTCTCCATACGACAAAGGTATAGCACATGCCATCTCTAGGTTGCCCAATGATGGAAAATCTTATAATATTGAATGGTTTCATGGTTTTCATTCATCACTAGCCTTGCAACACTACCATCACCTCCTCCTCCCCCTTTTATGCTTCACACATACACGTGCGTGTTTTGGGTAAACTGACCTCCCCTTTAATTTATATATTTATTAGTATTTATTTATGGTGGTGGGCAAGGCTTTTGATGAATGCCATTATGTTTAAATCATTGATGTATGTTTAAACCGTTGATGATTTGAAGTGAGCTATGAGATCTGAGGGCTCTAAGATCATTTCATTTCTAATGTGATCCTAAAATCTAGACCTAAAGCCTAAAAGGGGGCTCTACTTTTTGTGCTATTTGAAAAAAAAATATAAGATGAAGAAGGAATCAGTTAATGTAGATGGATCTAGTAGTTATTGGGTTTGTGCTAATGCCTCGTATGGTACAACTTTGTCTGTGAGACCGAAACCCATTGTTTGCCTGTGGATATGTTCAGGCTTTTCTGATTTTTAACATTTGACAATTTTATTTTTCTTCTCGTCTATATGTTTGTGGGTAATTAATTCATGTACCATTGACCTTCCCTGGTAGTGTGGATGGGGTTTGTTTAATTGAATTGGTCTAACCTACTGGTACTTCGAAGGACTCAATCTCTATAACTCTCTCTCTATATAATAAAACAAGACATGTATTTTGATATTTTCCTCAATTCCACAATATTGTATTAGTTATTAGATATGAATGAATAGTTGAAGGAAATTCTCTGATGAGAAAATGAATTATGGGAGTGTGACTTTATCTATTGATTTGCATTTGCAGATTATTCTATATGTCAAATTTGAATCATAACAAAATAGGTCTTTGTTCCAACCACCGTTGATCCACCATATAGAGGATGGTTCGTGCAATTGAATAGGTCATGGAAATTTTAAGGACTCAATGTCTATCACTTTGTATATAAATGAATGTATGCGGTTTTCTCATGATGCATTTGCATGTTTGATTGTGTAATGATTTATTTTTTATTTATTTATTTTTGTGCCTAGTTATGATCATTATTGGCTGTGAAAATTTGTCCATTTTGTTTTGGGTGCTTCCCTTTCTTTGAGTCCTGTTCTTGCTTCGTATTGAAATTGGTCTGATAATTGCTTTGCAGTTTATGATTGAAAAGTTCGGTAATATTCGATGGGGACCTATGATGGAAAACTCATACTGTCGAGCGGTTGCTTTGATTTTCATTACGAGCCTCTCCATCATCTTCATTGCCGCTACCACCAGCACCACCATTATTGTTGTGGTTGTTGTTGTTATTATCATTGTTATTGTTTTTGGCGGGGAGAGTCTTTTAATGAAGGTCATAATAACTGTCAATGGATTGTTAACAGTTATGAGATCTGAGGGGCTTATCTAGTGTTGGTTTATGATTCCTCTTTCTGGTTTTTGTTCATTAGGATTGTGCTGTGTCTCTATGGTATATTGATTTGTTAATTGAAGTGTGGATGGGACAGGAATTGTATTCCTCTGATGTGGTATCTGTATCTTTACTTTTGTGGGCTCTATCTGATTCATTTTCTTCCTGCATGTCTTCTTATTTTTATTTTTTCATAATTATTCCTGCATATCTTCCATTTGTGAAAGGTATAGATGATTTGAAGGACAAAGTAAAACAGTTATTAAAACCTGCTTTTGTATATAAAGAGATTACATAATTTATCAGCTGCTCCTTTTTAGTTTTTTAATTTTTTTTTTTTAAAATTTTTATATTCCTTTTCTACATACTCTCTTGAGCAGTTATACCTGCATCTGCACAAAATCTTGTTCTATTATTAGACAAGGATTCCCTTTTAAGGAATTAATGGAATGAATATATTATGAATCTGTTGATAATCAGTAAACTCGTCAATTTGTGCTTGCTTATGAAACTGTTTAACCTCTTTATTGTCACCTGTGTTGGATGTTTGATGCATATTGCTAACCAAAAAGAAAAGCTGCAATTTATATTTACAATTGTATTAGATTTATATTGAGCACTTTATGACTTTCAAAATAAGATTTGATTTCTTTTATATCTGTTTGATATCTTTCTGGTAAGATTTGATTTTTTTCCCTTGATTTCAGTTACGGATTCCTTCACCAAGGAACTTTTTACTAAAACAAATTGCTATCTTCTGGGTGTTTGGATGCTTCTTGTTTTGTTTTCAAGTATTACTTCTTTTATATATTTCCTCTTTATTAATGGTTGAATCTGCCAGAGAAAAATAGAAGAGACAATCTAGGTCAAGTTAGTTGTAAGGAAGAGCCACCCCCTTTTTGGCTCTTGTAGGGAGAAAAAAATTACATTCTTTTTTAAGTTTGTTAGTTTGCCTCCAAATGATGGTTGGTTTGAGGGGTCTTTTCATGTTTAATTACAATTTCATTTATTAATTTATCCATGTGTTGAAACATTTTTAGAATGCTTGAATGCTCTGAATGTTCAACCGCCTTACCCCCCAAACTTCTCTACCTCTTCTACATAATTTGTTTAGCATAAATGAACCCTATTAGAATGTTTATGTATATATATATTTATGTTGGGTCATTATGTAATTACCCAAAGTAGTTAGGATTATTGCGTAATTAAGTAACATTGTGTAATTAGGTTATAACTCTTTTCCTTTATATAAGCCTCATTTTGGCTTAAGGTTAACACACAATACATATAGAATTACTCTCTCTCTCTCTCTCTCTCTCTCTCTCTCATGAATTCGAACATGGTGTTAGAGCAATATGAATTCATAGGTGTGGGAAACGACAATTGTGTTGTTCTTCTATGAGATTGGAATCACGAGTGTGGTGTTGGTATCTCTGCCAGAAGTTTTGGTCGCCGGCAGGTTGAGAGCCTCATTCGTCATTGTCGTCCTCAGATCTGAAGCCTCATTCGTTGTCGTCAGATCTGAAGCCCCTTTGGCTGTTCGTGTTGTTGTCGCTTTGGTTGTCAACGAGCTCGCCGACATCCACCGTCATTATTTGCAGAGGTGAGGCTTCATTGATTCGTCTTTTCTTTTGGTTGGAAATTACAGAGGTTTGGATTCGGTGTGGTGTCGTTGCTTATTGAGTCGGTCGCTACTTGTGATTGGGTTGCTGTCGCCAAGCCGTCGCTGCTGCGTGCTTGCCGACGTCGGTCGGTGAGGTTGTGAGGAACAGCCGTGTTTGGCTACGCGGTTATGCTATTCCAACCCTAGTTTACTAAAACCGGGATAGCAGAGACCTGGTTTTGATCCAGCCCAGATACGACTTGACTGTCCAGATCCGGCCCAATTGCCCAGATCCGGCCAAAATATAGATTTTGCAATTTATTTATTTTTTATTATTATTATTATTATTATTATTATTATTATTATTTTTGCAAGTTCCTTTTTTTGTTATCTTCTCCATGGCTGCCAGTTCAAACCTGTTATCTTCTACCTCCTTCAATCCTCCCATGACTTCAGTCAAACTTAATGGCAAAAATTACATTTTATGGCCAAATAAGTAGCCATTTTCCTAAAAGCCAAAGGCTTTGGCACTCATTTAATTGGTACGGGACATGAAGTAGGTGGCTTATGTGACGGCCCAAGTTTTGTAAACTCGGTGCGTCAGTGATGACCAAAAGATGACCCGATAACGGATCCGAAATGTGGAAGCGAAAGGTGAAACAACGGTCTCTAGAGATAGAATGCGTCTCTAAGACACCAATGTGACCCTCAATGAGGTCATGGAACCCAAAGGAAAACAAATGTGGAAGTGTCGTTTCAAAAACAGACAAAAAGGAACCTAGGGGCAAAAATGTCATTTTGCAAGAAAAATGGATTCAAGTGCTATTGAGCACACCACTGGGAAGACAATGAAAAACTAATCATGATGGACTCAAGAATTTCATTATTCGGATTCCGGATGAAAGAGAAACGACAAAACAAAGAAAAACGAGCAATAAAGCTAAAAGGGTAAACTGGTAATTATCCAAAAATATCTGGGTGCAACCGAGCACACCGTTGGATAGATAATGAAAAATTAATCAATTTTTAAAAAAAAATTCACTTGATTTGTAGTCCGGATGAGGGAGAAAGGTCAAAAACAAAATCGACGTCGCAGCGGCCCGACGAAGGCCGTGACGGCTACAGTGCCGTCAACCCACTACTGCTGCAACTGAGAGTAAAAACGGGTATCTAAACGGACTTTTCTGGAAAAACTTAAAGAAGAAACCTCCCCTAAAATCAAGTTTCCTACCCCGTTCACGGAAGAAAATAAAAAAAAAAATGCATTCTAAAATGCCTAAAATGCCCGCAAGAAAAATCAGGTCAAGAGGAAAAAAAATAATCCGAGCTACTGCCCAAGTTTTAGAAATAAGGCTTCGGGAGGTTTTTAAATTGCCTAAATTGAAAATGCCATCTTAAAATACACCCATAAGACCTCCGGAAGTTTTGGATCAGTCGTGACGATTTTCAAAAAAAAGTCAATGAATAGTACAACTACATTTGTACTAAAAATTTGCAAAACCTGGCAGCAAGGATTTTTCGGAATAATATTGATTTTTGAGGGCCAAGATGATATTTTCTGGGAAAACACAAAGAAGAAACCCCCCTCAAACTTGAGTTTTCTACGTGACTTTAGTGGAAAAATGAAAAAATGCATTATGAAATACCCGAAATGCCCCTGAAACATAATAGGGTAAAACTCCCTAAAAATGCTACTTAGAGTTTTTGTTTCATCAAGGAAGGTATTGTTTGCCAAAGTGAGTATGCAAGTGCATGCAATATGATAAAATAGATGCACCAACATGGCTTAAAGCCTCTTTACATTCCATTAACAAGTTTTAGCATACAAAGCCTCCATTTCTCACAAATAAGCTACAATGGCAATACTTGAGTTTTAAAGAGAACATGCTTGTAGTCTTTCATGTCAATAGCTCTTGGCCTCATCTCATACATGTCAAATATATTGTAAAGAGTGTACTTACGTACACATTACATTAATGGAATCAAATATACATATTTTGACATATAAAGCTATAAAGGCATTTCAAGCCAATCTTCACAAAATGGAAATCTTCAAGTCCACAAGTCATCCAAGCATAATGGGAGTCTCAACTTTAATTCTTGTACCTGAAATATGTCTCAGTATCGTAGGGGTGAGTAACATAAAGCTACTCGTAGGAAATGAGTATGCATCGACGTAGCATTTTACAATTATATCACCTTATGGTGAAACATGTTAAAGGGGCTCATGCCACCTAACGTCTATATCAAGTGAGACTCGGGGAGCATCCTAAGCTACCTATGCAAGTTAAAGCGAACAACGGCATCCAAGTATACATGCTCAAGTACACTAAACCATATTAAAACATGAAACACGACATATAAGCATACATTTCCAAGTATACTAACCATATTAAGACAAGTCACACAATGTCTAAGCATATTACCCAAGTACACATTTTATATGAAAATCTCATAAATCAAGTATACGAACATAAGTATATTAAGCTCAACAAAATGCATATAAGACAAGTATACATGTCACAAGTATACTAAATGAAAGTCAAACTCACGGAGCAAGTATACAAGTTCAAGTATACTAAATAGTATTCAATTGTCCCAAACAAGCATCAATTCTCAAGCTACAAGTAATTTATGATTAACAACTTGAAATTAAATGCAAAAACAATAAATAGTGGAAAGACTAGGACATGCAGTCGCTAGACCAAGCAAGTATTTTCGGGTAATTACGACCCACAAGGTACTACCTAGTGCACACTTATGACTTAGAAGACACTTGTCTCAGTACTAGAGCCAAACCCTAGTCATAACATAATATATGTCCTCACAAGCTTTCCAAAACCAGTAAGTTCAAAACTTATACAAAATCAAATGCAAGTTACCACATTGCATGCACAAGTAAGGTTGATTCCACACAAACCATGTCCTAGAATTCAAGTCTAAATAGCATATGACATGTCAAGTCTTCAATATGCAATTTATACAAAGCAAGAATATTTTACAACAATAGAGTCATATTACCATCCTAAGCCACAAGTACTAAATAAGCTTCAAATTAGTAGCATGCTCACAAGGTAATTAGAATACTACATTTTAAGAGATTTTCAACCTAATCATGGAAAGTCTCTAGATTTCAAATCTATCCCAAACAACCTCAAATTAATCTATGTTAAACAACATAGCATGCTCAATACATATATCAAATCAAAAAAGCAAAATAAGCAAGACATCATCATGTAGATTTTAATTAATTCAATTTTAATTAAATCTCTAGATTTCAAAAGTTATTCAAATGATCCTAAATTAATATATAACAAGTACCAAATCATGGTCATACCATATCTCTAGTCTAAAATGGAATACAAGTAAAATACAATTTACTAGAATTTAAATCAAATTAAATCCATTAAATCTCTAGATTTGAAAACTCATCTAAATCATCCCAAGTTAATATATATCAAAGATCAACTCATGGCCATGCCATTTAACAAGTTTAAAATGAGTTACATGCAAGCTATGATAAATTATAATTTCTCAAATTAGAAAATACATGCATACAACTCATAT